AGCAGCAAGCACAGGACCAGGTTAACTGGCGGAACATGGGAGAGGCCTTTGTTCGGCAGTGGACGTAGTCAGGCTGACGATGATGATGATGACTTAGGACAGATAGTAATCGCAGAACCGAACCACGAGCGTGAAACAACTACAACAATAAGAATGGCGTTGATCTGCATCGAGAATCATTCTTAAATGACGTATGGTAATCTACCGCGAACCCTCAAGAGGAAGATATATAGCAGCTGTATCTTGCCGATACCTACCTATGAAGCAGAGACCTGGAGGCTTACAAAGAGGGTTCAGCTCAAATTGACGACGACGCAGCGAGCGATGGGAAGAACAATGATAGATGTAAGCTTAAGAGACACATATCAGAGCAGAGTGGGTCATAAAAAAACCGGGGTTAAAGATATAGATGAAATCAAGAAGGAATGGACATGAGCCAGCACGTAGCGCGTAGACAGGATAACCGCTTGACATAAATAGGGACTTACTGGATTTCTTCGAAAGCAAATGCTCGAGGGGGAGACAGAAAGTTAGTAGGGTCGATTGATAGATATAGGGGTTTAATGTCCCAAAACCACCATATGATTATGAGAGGCGCCGTAGTGGAGGGCTCCGGAAATTTAGACCACCTGGGGTTCTTTAACGTGCACCCGAATCTGAGCACACGGGCATACAACATTTCCACCTCCATCGGAAATGCAGCCGCCGCAGCCGGGATTCGAACCCGCGCCCTGCGGGTCAGCAGCCGAGTACCTTAGCCACTAGACCACCGCGGCGGGGCTAGTAGGGTCGAAGAGATGAAAAAGTTCACAGGTATAACTTGACAGCTGAAAGCACAAGACTGCGTTGATTGGCCGATCATGGGAAAGGCCTTTGCTCTGCAGTGGGCGCAGTCAGGCTGAAGTTGATATTTAGCATGATGATGGTGATTCTCGAGTGCATCTACAAGCTGTAGCCGCTTTTGTTTTACATACATTCAAGATTATGTGCTATAAATATAGTGTAATCCAATCAACTGGTAGCCTAAACTAGCGAGCAATACGGAGTTTTGGTAGAAAAGGTAGTTAACTGAAAGTACAAACACTTTCATGGGGAACGATTTTTGGTACCAACCATAGGTATTGAAGTTGGATTTCTCATCTAGCTAACCCATGGCTTTTTCGTGAGTGGCAAGGGCATGCTTCGAAAGAGTGAATGCCACAATAAGTCGTATTATTTACGGAACACTCACGCCGTCAACTTGAAAACACCATGATGTTTTGATCTATTTCAACGAGTGTAATATCTGTCACTCCGTTGTGTTGGAGCGTCGCACGCTTACTCATCTGGCAAAAGCTGTCGAAGCACTGTCGTTAAACCTTAGAAGCTTGGCGCAACGGGCTTTCCTTAGCGCGACCTGCCGTAAAAGGTGAAAAACAAGGAGGGTTACAGCGCTCTTCGCCTCTCAGGCTTGGCATCCGTTCATTGCGGCTAAGCGCAGGGCGACTAGCTACGTTCAACGATGTGCGTGGAATCTGCGTCATAAAAAATGCAAACGTCTGGATAGGTCCGCAAAGGCCACGCATGGTTCCATTAGTCTGAGTGACCGTGGTGGCTCTAGAAGCATTAGCCATCCTGTTGTCACTCCTCATGCACAATGCACAATGCGTTTTCCCCAAACCCATTAAGCTTCAGTGACAGGGCTCTGTAGACGGATCCTACAGGATACGTTGTAATATAAACACGTTTTAGCCAGGATTGGCATACGAGTGTCCCTTTACACGTGGCAGACGCCTTCATGTCTGCATGATTTAATTCATGCTGTCGAATATGTATATCTTTTTGTACATCTGGTATTGTTTAAACACTCGCCCTGCTAAATTGCATTTTAAGCTGCAGTGAGTACTGCTCACCATGTGTTTCTAGGACGACTCCAAAAGTGTGCGTAAGCGCCTTGTTATTTTTAGGACAATTTAGTGCAATACAAAAATACTTAGCGTTGAATACGCACGTCATGATGCACCCACAGGCGTTCAGAAAGTGAAAGTGTAACAACAAAGACCAAGCATTTCCGGAAATCAACCTACAGCTTCCTGCTGCCTTGCTATGGTTATTTTTTGCGTTTGGCTTTTATTGGCCTGCCATAATGATTGAAATGGCGTCATAGTAGCATCGCGTCCAGCGAAAATCACTTGAGCACTCTACAGAAAGGACAAAATGAAACAAGCTTCATGAAATTGTATTAAGATAAAAATTCAATTGCAAGAGGAAGTATCTGTATGCTGAAAAAGATGTACCCGGAATGCTGCTGTAGATAAAAGAGAGAGAGAGAGATAAAGATGCAAAGAAAGGCGGGGAGGTTAACCAGACGCACATCCGGTTTGCTACCCTGCACTGGGGAAGGAATGAAGGGGAGAAAAGAGGTTGTAGAGAGATAAGGAGGTACACACAATCACGAGCACACTCGGGGGAGCACACACAGTCTACAGGTGGTCGCTCAGGTTTGTTGACCTTGGGCATCTGCCTCAGTAGCCCAGAAAGCGACTAAAGCACTCCTACTTTACCTAAAGTCAACAAATGCTGTAGATGAGGTTTTGACAAAAGCGCTTGTCTTTCAGGCAGACACCAGCTTTCCTTTCCAGCGTTCATTCTTTACTTGGCAGGGTTTAGTGCAAGATGATTATCTCATAGGCAAAAGCGCTGCTTTTCTGTGAGATATTTGCAGTGCACGTTGATTGATTACAAAACGTCTACTTTGCCCTGCCGTGGGATCTAGTGGCTAAGGTACTCGGCTGCTGACCCGCAGGTCGCGGGTTCAAATCCCGGCTGCGGTGGCTGCATTTCCGATGGAAGCGGAAATGTTGTAGGCCCGTGTGCTCAGATTTCGGTGCGCGTTAACGAACCCCAGGTGGTCGAAATTTTCCGGAGCCCTCCACTACGGCGTCTCTCATAATCATATGGTCGTTTTGGGACGTTAAATCCCACATATCACTCAAACGTCTACCTTATTCAAATCGAGAAGCTTCCTGAAGAGTGCGGAGCCCAATATGAATGCGCAAAAATATGTCGTCAAAAAATAATTTCTTGTATTGATAGCCGACTGAAATCTACCCAACAGCCTGCAACGGTCTCATTTTTCGAGTCACGGTACACGGGTACATGTGCTTCTTAACCCGGTGCGGTACTGTGGTATTTGCCTTGTGTTCATTGAAGAGTGATTAAAGCGGATGTCCTAGATACCTTCTGAAGCTTGAGAACTTATCATCGGGGATGCAAAAATAATCGGGTAATGACGCCGTAATATGACGCCAAATGTCGCTTGAGTTTCAGTCGTCATTATGTCGTCATCGTAACGGCAGAAAGTCAAGTTGTCACTTGACTAAGTCACTAAGCCAAGCGTAGGACATTTACGGACACGGTGCTGTAAAATCACATGAGGGGCAAAAAGCATTCGGGAGAGGTTGGGATGGACCAATACGATTGACCAAATGGAAGAAGAGGTACAAGAAATAGAATAAGACCACTTTCGTCTGCGAGTCACCTCAGCAGAATTCATAAGTGACTGTCTCCCTTTATTGCAATGCATACCCTTACCTTACCGCAGTTGAATACTCAAAGCGTTTCTCATACATGCGTAGGACTACTGGAAGTCGAAAGCCATTACATTCTCGCGCTCAGTTGACACACTGTTCCGGCGCCGAAACCTTTCTGCACTTATTCTTGTGGTGCATTTCTTCTGGGATGGGAGGCACCTCTTATTATTTTGCACTGACTCCATGATCATGCTGAGATGCTAACCAGGATGTCAATCTCTTACGCAATTATAACGTTATAATGTCAAACTGGTTGTCCCTGTGGTTCTGTCCGCGTCGAAGTAGTGCGCTCTCATTTCAAAACAGTCATAACAATGTCACGGCCTTTTGAAATTTATGAGGTCATCATGACGGCACGTGTTAACGCTATCACCTGACGATTTTTTGCATCACTCGTTTGGACACCGACGTGTGATGCCGACGTGAGACACCGGTCAATTTTCGCGTTTGATGAGGCACCTAGAGCATTCGCCTTGGAAATGCTACTGAGTCCACTTGAATATATGATCGCCGCTGATACCTGCTCAGCAAAAAATTGTTCAGCTCCGTTCATGAACACACTACAAACCCGAAGTTAGTTTTTATTAGGTATAGAGATAAGTTCGGTAGTTCATAATTACAACTTCGCAGTTTTGCGGGCCTTCTATGAACGAGGAGAAGTTTTTTGAATAAAAAGAGTATTCGAGCTTTATTCATAATATATAGGTTTTTCTGTAGTCTGTAACAGGGGCTCTTCGCACAGCAGCTGCAGTAATGATAATAGGTTGTGGACACCGTACCACGCTTCTCCATGCAATGTGGTCTGTATGCTTGAGTTTCCAGCATAAGCTTGTACGGAATATCAATTGTTTTTGGTAGTGTTTAGTGCATATTGATGGAGGACTCTATTTTTCTTCGTGGCATTTTTGCACCGCTGTTGCTGCCTCACTGAGATTTCTGCCAAGTGGCCTTAACTGTCTCCTAACTATTGATAGTGCTGGTCGGTTCCGCGCTGGCTGATTGTTTCTATAGTAATAGCCAGAACCATACACTAATACAAAAGTGTTAATGAAATTGAAATATTACACTATTAAAACGTTCCACCCTTGAATGCGCCATTGTACCCGCAAATTCTTAGATGCTTGTTGTGAGTGAAACCAATGAAACAGAACAACGCAATGGAGTTCACTTGATTTTCGGCTGTTTGAAGTGTGGCATGCATTATGCGTGATTTCCGCTTCGCAGCAAGTTATGCTTCCAAAAATTGCTGTTGTACATGAAGAGCGTTCAGGTAGCAAGCTTGACGGTCCGCAATGCCGAACAAGTCAAGCCATAAGCGTCCTCGTGAATGAGCGTTTCAAAGCGCTTAATCTAATGCGTTCTGCACAAGTATCTAATTGATGTGAAAGATAGATAGCTAACTGCGATTTCTTGTTTCTCCTTCAGGTGCGAATCATTTTCAAGACAGATGATTTCTGCTGCCGTGAAAGAAAGGAGGAGGTGACCGGTGTTCGCACCAAAGGAGCTCATGTCCGTACAAGTTCTCCAAGATGACCCGATGGACGCCACGGCGGTGGCGAGTCGAGAGGCGCAGAGGCACCGGCTCTGTCTTTCGAGCAATCAAGGCTCTGTCACTCCTAGTCGCATTGCTTACAGTTGTTTTCTGGACGCATGCTTTTTATCGATTTTCCGGTATTACCGATCAAAACTGGGAAGAAGCTGACGCTATATTTACGCCAGCTACAAAGACGGATTCCACAATCGCTGCCGCGCAGGTACGCGTCACATTAAACACCTCTCCCCGTGGGAAATCGCTTCACGAAGTTATCTTGCCATCGCCAGCATCGAAGCCACAGCTGCGCGAAACATTCAAGGAGCAACCGATGAGTTCTGGTGACTGGGTGTCCACCGACACTTACCTTAGAACAAAACTAAAGCTGTTCTTGTACTCTGCGTACTTAGACAACCGCCTCGCCGTGCCCGTGGTTCGGGTTATAGGCGCATACGCCAGCGTAAACGGTGCTCAAGTTTCCTGCAGGCTAGAGTATGCCAGTGGGGAAGCGAGTGTGGTCGCCGCCACGAAGAAGACCATTAATGAGAACTGGAAGCTCAAGTATGGTGCGGCCTTCTTCTTGTGTCCTTATTCCGACGACTCAGACAATCCGCCACCGGTTCGCGTGCGACTCAAGGAGACTTACGAACTGCAGTGGAGTCCTTCAATACCAATATGGCCCCTAGAGACAAGACCTGGTGAAGCGACTGGGCGTTTTGCGGTCTGCGTGAAGCCCCTGCACTACAAGTATGACAGAGTGTCGTGGCTGGCAGAGTTTGTAGAGTTCAACAGAATCGTTGGCGTAGATCGTTTCTTCTTCTACAATCACAGTATAGGAAGCAACGTAGACAGACTGTTGCGTGTGTACATGGAAAAAGGTGTCGTCACGAGCCTTCCGTGGAACCTAGACATCAAGTGAGTTTATGAAGAACAGCGAATGCTTATTTTGACTCATGCAGACGTAGTTTTAGTCAGTTTTAAATTTTTAGTTGCATTCCATTGCAGCGCAAACAATGCATTAGCTGCCGTTTTCTTGAAGTACAGACCATCCTGGTGCTACAATGAATCAATGTGTACGTACAGGTCAATACAGCGAACGGCAAAAGTGTTAGGCGCAAGGCACACGTTAGTGCATTACTGCCTCTTGGGAGAAACGCCTGTTCTTGAAATTTTCATAACAAAAGTCTTACCTTTATTTCAATCTTTTTAGGACTCTTTGTTTACTTAGGTTTCTCGCTCATGTAATATCTTGCCACGAAATACCTTTTTTGATATTCCATGCCTCAAAAACTAGAACATGGCTTAAGCGCCTAAAATGCTAATGTTTTTGCTTGGTGAATGGTGGCTCTTTTACTCGCATGTTAGCGAAAGGAAGCTCCAAAACCTCTTCAGTATATGACTAAAAAGAATGTCAAAGTCAGTACGTTAGCCATTTCCGTTGGCATGCTCAATTTTTTTTTTGAACCGCTAGGTTACCATCTCTGCAGTTCTATTGTCCCAGTCTTTTGTGTATCTTTGAAGGGGGGAATTATATTGCTGTGGTGTTCCATCTACTGTCTGATATACCACCATACGAGAAACCCTATTCGATTATAAACAAAGTGAGAGCAAGTAATAGCTGAACATCGAACATAACTGAGGCTGTAGCCGATGACTCGCTCCTATAAAATGTTTTATGATTTTTACTCGGAACCAATAAAGAACTTCACTGGACATGGTTATGGTTATTAGAGAATACCTAATTGTTTTCTTTTAGACTTCACCGCATGGGTCACACTCATAAGGGACCTGTTAGTCACCAATATTTCTGGTTTTTAATTAGTCGTTTTGAGACCTTCTTTGAATTTCACAAATACTTTTGTCGTACTTCACTTAGTCCAGAATATAAATGAGAACAGTGTCCCCCCATTTTCTTCACTATCTTCCGTGTGATGAAATGGGAGGAGGTGGAGGAAGGGAAGGAAAATGGAAAGGTAGGAAGGTCAAGCAGATGTGCTATCTTACGCTGGGTAAAGGGGATAAGGGGCTATGAAGATAGGATGATAAGGGAACATACAAAAAGGATACACGTGAGCTTAAACTTCATCACGGTGTTCGAGAGTAGCAGAAGCAGCACTTCTGTTGCATCCTGTTCCACTGTGTATCGTGAAGTCATGATGCCTACTGAAGGCTTACAAGCGTGGACAGAGCTGTAAAAAATGACAAAGTATAATAGCCGCTGGCATGTAGTGAAAATCTGGCGCTCAATAAAATAAACATGAAAGCCGCCACTGTATAATCGTCATAAAATATTTACAAGTGCATTGGTTCCCCCCATTTTGTTGTAGACGTAGCAGACAAAAATGATGAATTATGCAGAGCCACCTGCAGTGACGGTGATGTAAAAGTTTCACGACGGCTATGGTTCTACGCTTCTGCACTGGGTATTATCATCGCTGCAACCGTGACTCGCAGTCCGAGAAAGACAGACTGTTGGTTGAGCTGGTGAATCACGGTGGAAAGTGCGAAAAAAAAACGTGGCAGAAGACCAAGAAAACTACAGGACAACGCATACTACGAAGAAAGCTTTTACTGAAAAAAAAAGAAAAAATACAGAGAGCAAAACCACGTGTTCATTGCGAACAAAGCTAAAAACCTCAGACGTGCGCATCCATGTACCTTTTTTTTGCCCTGCTTACCGCAAGAGTCGGCTCAGCGACACAGTTTCCTCTAGCTTGTAAAATTAAGAAAGCTTCAACAACCTCACGTGCTGTCTATTTCCTCTGACGTGCGAGCACTTTGGCTTCAGACTGGAGAAGAGTTCGCCTATACCGCAGCAACAAACTATTTTAGGGGGGGGGAGGATCTTGCTTGTTTAAGACTTTGAAAAACACCTTTGTTCATTTCCTATTCTTGGTGAACCCCCCCCCCCCCATAATTCTAAACTTTTTGGCGGTGGGGTGGAGGAGAGGGGCTAGCCCACCCCCCTTGGCTATGGGCCTGTTTACAGCAACGCAAGAGTAAATTTGATAATAGCCGACCATTCGAAGATAGATGAACTCTATCGTGTTTTCCGAAGCGGAATCAAGCTCTGGCATGGATAGTGAACCTCCGCAGAAAGTTCTTCGATTCAATTCCAAGTCGCCTTTTGTTTTATTTGTCCATAGCGTGTGGAAACTGCCACGGCTATCTGCGTGGGCGGATAGAATTGCATTCTAGGGTCACTGTTGTTGCGAGCTTGTAGCGAAAAGTATCTTATATCTCTGAAAAACAACCGATTTGCTTATGTGAGAATAATTCTCTCCTTAGAGTTCTAGGCAACGTTTACAAAAGGCGTACCTGATTACGTACTAAATGAGCAACTTAATTTGAGGTAAGGTGATTGCTCAAGTTCAAAAAATAGGCTCTCCTGACGGCGGCATGAGAGAGAGAGAGAGAGAGAGAGAGATAAATAGAGAGGAAAGGCAGGTAGGTTAACCAAGCTTGGCTCGGTTGGCTACACTACACTTGGGGTGAAGGAAAAGGGGAATAATAGAATGAAAAGAGACAGAAAAGAAGAGGAGTAAGAAAGAGAAGCATAAATAGTCAGCTCGAAACTACACAGCACGGCCTCGCACAGTTCTTTCACAAGCGGTCGTGAAGTTTGGTGTTCCTTAAAAAGTACAAGAGGGCTTTCGTGGCTTTGCGCGTATGGGAAGCCGTCGGCCAAGGTCCCAGGATCTTCTCTTCTGTAAGCGGCCGTGAATCCAGCTCACAGAGCTTGGCTTCCATAATACGTCGTTCAGTCTGATATGCTGGGCAATGACATAGAATGTGCTCAAGCGTTTCCTCGCAGGCGCAGATGTTGCATGCCAAAGTGCTCGCAATTCCAAGGAGACGAGAGTACGAATTCGTAAATGCCACGCCCAACCTCATGCGACACAGTAAAGTTACATGAGTTACAAAAATGCGATAGCTCTAAATTATTTACTTAAGTTATTTATTTTGGTATCCTCCGCGCCAATAAACTATTCCATAGGCAGGTTATACCGGTGTCACATCAGCCCTTGTAATCGTGATCAACGCGATCCGAATTAGTTTTCTTGATCGGGACCACTGCTACACGGCCCAAGCTAATTCTGTTCTAGCTTGGGTCAGAATGAACGCCCCAGGTTGCATTTGCGTGGCGTAAAACATGCGACTGATGAAAATCGGCATACGGTATATCCATAGAGCACTTTATCAGCAATGCTATTCGTTCAAGAACCGTTCAAACATCAAAAACTTTGCGTACAACTACAATGGTAATTTCATAAATCCATCATTCAATAAAATTTTTCTAGTACTTACCTGTATTGCTGTGTGAGATTCTTAACCTTCGCATTTATTTCTGATGGCCCCTGCTCGTAGCCGTGTAGTCACAGTGAAGCGTCAATCTGGTTGTACGCATCAGTGATTCACTTCTCGCACATCAAGCCTGTTCTAGTCACTCCTGCCAGCGGTCACTTGCTGTAAAGATCTCTTCATTCGACCACGAAGTGCGCGTACGTTGCGACGTAGTCTAAAGGCTTGCGACACTCGTAATTAGTTTGCTTCAAGGGGCTCCGACAGCTTTGTTGGGGCGAAAGTTGAAGTAAGCACTGAAGGCAACGGTCGACTGCTTGTCGTCTGCTTGTCGTCTGCTTCTCCCGTAACTACATGTGGTGGACACGAATTCTAAATATATGCACTACTTCAGAGATTGTTTCAATTGAAACAGTATATGATTTGCTTTTTTTATAATCACCCAGCCTTTTGAAAGTGTTTTCAATGAACTATTCTTGATTTTCTTGTTTATTGTGCTTTCAACAAGCTCGGTTGGGGGGTGCAGACGAGAGCAAAATCGCGATCTCTCAGGCAGATCGCGATTCGCGTATCGTGATAGTCTTGATCCCGATCACGCCTCATCATAATTAAAGGTGACCGTGTAGCAGCACTTAATCTGGATCGTGGTTAATCCGGATCGATAGTGATAATGTATAAAAGTGCCCGTGTGACACTGGTATTACATGCTGCATGATCTTGTAGTAATGATATAGGTACAGGCGCTTGTTGCAACAAAATTCATCATCCGATAAAACCACAAACCCAAACACTGAGCACTCGTTCGGTGAGTTATATAAATTCGAAAATGCTTAGTAGTAATAATATTTATAATTATATTAACATTTCACTAACATTACACGCTCTCAACTACGCCTTACATTATTAGCATCAAAAGTTGTCAGGCGCTACATGCTACAAACAAGCACATTTATTGAAATATGTCTTCTGAAATATTTTTACTATGAGGTTTTTGCAGCGTTCATCAAATTGTTTGAAACCCTTTTAATCAAGTAACGCTAAGCGACGTCTTTTGTGACATAGAGTAATAACGTAAAGCCAACATTGGCAATTTTTAATAGGCTGACATTTTTTATTACCATGACTTCTATCCTTTTCGTCCAACACTTTTCGAGTTTGCTGCAGTGTGCACCCGACGTTACTTTCCAAAAGCAGGTATTTGTTGGGTTTTGTGTGTTTGCACAATAATGCAAGTACTTTGTATGATTCAGCTGTAGCAAAATGGTTTAGTGGTTTCATGGAAATGTTGTTTTGTCACTAATGTCACTAATATCACTAATGCTGTATTCTTGGAGTTTTGCTATTGTCACGGTGTCGTGACGCTGACAAAGGTAGAGACGACAAAGGTAGAACTTGTGGCCACGTAAAAGAACTGCCAGATTACAGCAAGACACTGGCACACTCATAGCGGCGGGTAGAGCATCGGCCGTCGATAAACTGACAAGCGGCAAAGCCTGCCGGCATTTACACCCTAGCCACCGAATGTTCTATCGTAATCGCTATGATGACTTAGGTTCCCGAACAATCTATGACGTTGCCGAAGTGGGCACAATCTTCATATAACGATCTACTAA